AAGAGTGAGCTGGAAAAAAGGAAGGCAGAAGGTGGGGGGAGGAAGAAGTTAGATAAACTGGTGCACAAAGGGGAAATGAGCCCTCTGACTGCATGACGGCAGTATCCTCTGAGGCTAGGAAAAGTCTGGAGTTCTGCTGCTGCTCTATCCTATAGTCAAATCAGAGGGCACTTTCCTCCCCAGACACAGCTCACAGTGAGTTTTTAGAATAGTTTTTCCTGGGTTTTAATATAGTTCTGTGCCTCAAGCTCTTGCAGAACATGTATCAGTAATGAAATTGACCGAACAATGTTAATATCTTGTCTAATTCTGGAGTTAACTGGAAGCTAGAGAGCACCAGTTCACATAACATTTAGTGGGGGACAGGAGACCTGATTTGGACTGAAACCAAATTTCAGCCCAGAATAAAATAAAACAATTAAGAGATTAAACCACAGCTCATACAAATGCCAAGTAGACTGCAAGCAGCATTTCAGAGGAAGGTTTCCTCATTTCTGCATCTCTCTGGTGAAAGTTATGCAGATCTCCAAGCTAATGGATCACGTGCTGTGGGCTACTTGAAAGGTGCTACCTCTTCAGCTCATCTTCTGCTTTGTCCTGCAACCAAGTCATAATGCTAGTTTGCAACCTTACATTCATTTCCCTGACAACGGACCATGAACCCAGGATTACGATGGCTTTACTGCAGGATCCAAGAAGAGCTGGAAGCCTCGACTGAAAAAGTTGCTGCCAAGACAACATGAGAATATTGACAGTCATTTGCTTTTTAAAGAGGAACGTTTATTCAGCATGTTAGATGCCATGCCAAAGGCCTGGTTTGATGGCTGCTAGTTGAAACCATAACACTGGTAGAGAATGGCATACAATCATCTAAATCCAACACCTCAGAGTTATTTTAAAACTAAAAAACCCATGTCAGCTAACACGTGGATTAAAAATTGTCAGCCCAGCTAGGACACCTAACACAGCTAAGCCAAGACCAGGTTTTAAACAAACCTTTGCCTAAACCAGCACTGGAGAATACTCTCTCATTCCATGCATTACATTTATTGCCCATGTAATTTAGGACAACTGGTTCGATCAAAGAAAAGTACTAGCAAGCTTGTCCCTTACCTTCCAGTGATCTACTAAAACCTTCAATCAAGGCCTGTAATGCTTCTTTCTACTCTTCCAGACCAGGAGTTCCCCAGAAAAGAAATTGCCCACTTGTTCCCAGTTTAGGATAGAAATTAAGAGGAGGCCAGCAGGATAGAGTATTGGACGGGAACTCAGAAGACCCAGGCTCTATCACTGGCCTGCTGTGTAACCTTAGGCAAATCACATTCTCCACTCTGTGCCTCAGTTTCCCCAGCTGCAAAGTGGGTATGATCCTGCCTTCCTTCATAAAGTGTTTGGAGACCTACTGGTGAAGAGGGTTTTGTAAGAACTCCCTGAATTTCACTTGTAACTGGGTCAGAATTGGTAGCAAGGTTATCAGATGTTCAGAATCCCTCAAGCCTCCCAAAGGACTGTGTGAATTTGCATACGCTGTCACAGTGTCTCAGGACAGAAAGGCTCCCAGGCAGAAGATGACATTAGAGACCATATGGGAGAGGGGAAAAGCCTTTACCTGACATCCTTCCCCACAGTCATGGCAGCAATCACCTTCTTCACTGCTTCTTTCCTCTTCTCTTTCTTCTCATTGTTGAGCTCAGCCTTCAGTTCAAAGATCTCTCCTGCAAGGAGACAGATGAATCTCAATTTCATGAAGCCAATGGATCTAGCTTCAGGATTATCTGGAAAGTGAGCTGTGCTCTCATCGACACTAGAAAACTGTTTCTATTATCTCCGGGCTAGTGAATGATTCATGAAGTTATAAGAGGCCTCAGAAGACCAGCAGCAGGAGCTGCATGGGGGAAAAATAGAAAGCCACCAAATGGGAGGCCAAAATGTGTTGCCAGTCTCTTCTGCCACAGGCTAAGAGTCAGAACAATTAACCTTTGGAGCAGACCTTGGGGAGAAAGCAACCCGCTATACCCCTACTACCAAACAGCAGTGCAGATGAGCTCCTGGTGGCCTTGAGGACAGTGATCTTAAGAATGGCAGAGGGCAGTGTTCCCTGTAAACTAAGCACTTGAGCAGCTGCCCAGGACTCAGGTGCCACCCAGCTGATTTGCAGGGCACCTTCAGCTGCCCACAGCTTGCAGCAACTGTTCCTACTGGTGGTGCACATCTGCTCATGTCTTGGTACACAACAAAATTTATTCCCCACATGGATGGAAAAAATTAGAGGGAACACTGACTGGTGGGGATGCTGTTCAGAAGAGAAATAAGTTGATCTTCAGTACTCTGGTAATGGCAGGGAGGACATAGCCTCAAAGAAAAAGTTAATAAAAGCCACAATGCATGTTAGAAACTCACCCTATCTGGGGCACCAAACCACCTCACTATATTAGTTGCTGAGAAAGAGCACAAAGAAGCGATCATCTAACAAGGATTAAAAAGAGTGAGGTACAAAAGAGGGAAACACTAGAGGAGAACATGGTTTAGTTTAGCCAAGAATTCTGCCAAGACTTTCCTGTCTTCACTCGTCACTGTTTGCTTCCTGCAAGTTAGGGGAGAGTGGGAGGACACAGACCACAGCGCAATACAAGCAAAGTGTCAAAAACATGGCAGGACAATTTTAGTCAAAAACCAAAACACACCATGGATAAGGTAAAGAGAGAATAAGGAAAGACACTCAAAAAGAATCACATCTGAATTCTGAAACTACCTATAAAACAACTGAAGAGACCTTTCCTGAGATTAATTCGTCCTAAGGGACATTGTTAAGGGCCCAAAAGCAAGCTATTCTGCTGCATCGGAAAGATAGAAAATATGGCAAAAGACTGCCTTAGCTTAACTATGAGATCTTGCATGATCTAAAAATTAAAAAGGAGTCCTATAAAAAATGGAAACTAGGACAAATTACAGAGGATGAATATAGGCAAACACCACAGAAATACAGGGGCAAGATTAGAAAGGCAAAGGCAAAAAATGAGCTCAAACTAGCTAAGGGAATAAAGGGAAACAAGAAGACTTTTTATAAATACATTAGAAGCAAGAGGAAGACCAAGGACAGGGTAGGCCCATTGGTCAGTGAGGAGGGAGAAACAGTAACAGGACACTTGGAAATGGCAGAGATGCTTAATGACTTTTGTTTTGGTCTTCACCGAGAAGTCTGAAGGAATGCCTAACATAGCGAATGCTGGTGCGAAGGGGGTAGGTTTAGAAGATAAAATAAAAAAAGAGCAAGTTAAAAATCACCTAGAAAAGTTAGATGCCTGCAAGTCACCAGGGCCTGATGAAATGCATCCTAGAATATTCAAGGAGCTCGTAGAGGAGGTATCTGAGCCTCTAGCTATCATCTTTGGAAAATCATGGGAGACAGGAGAGATTCCAGAAGACTGGAAAAGGGCAAATATAATGCCCATTTATAAAAAGGGAAATAAGAACAACCCAGGAAACTATAGACCAGTTAGTTTATCTTCTGTGCCAGGGAAGATAATGGAGCAAGTAATTAAGGAAATCATCTGTAAACACTTGGAAGGTGGCAAGGTGATA